GCCCAAAGTCAGCACAAGGAGGGACATAATAAAGATCAGAGAAGAAATAAATAAAATTGAGAAGAATAAAACAATAGAAAAAAAATCAATGAAACCAAGAGCTGGTTCTTTGAGAAAATAAACAAAATAGGTAAACCCCTAGCCAGACTTATTAAGAGAAAATGAGAATCTACACACATAAACAGAATCAGAAATGAGAAAAGAAAAATCATGATAGACCCCACAGAAATACAAAGAATTATTAGAGAACACTCTGCAAATCTATATGCTAACAAACTGGATAACCAAAGAAAAGTGGAGAACTTCCTAGAAAAATAGAATCTCCAAGACTGACCCAGGAAGAAATAGAAAACCTAAGCAGACCAATTACCAGCAAACGAAACTGAATCGGTAATCAAAAACCTACCCACGAACAAAACTCCTGGGCCAGATGGACTGACCGCTGAATTCTATCAGACATATAGAGAAGACATAATACCCATTCTCCTTAAAGTTTTCCAAAAAATACAAGAGGACAAAATAGTTCCAAACTCATTTTATGAAGCCAGCATCACCCTAATACCAAAACCAGGCAAAGGCCCCACAAAAAAAAAAATTACAGACCAATATCCCTGATGAACATAGATGCAAAAATACTCAACAAAATATTAGCACACCAAATTCAAAAATACATCAAGAGGATCACACAACATGATCAAGTGGGATTCGTCTCAGGGATGCAAGGATGGTACAACATTCGAAAATCCATCAATATCATCCACCACATCAACAAAAAGGAGGACAAAAACCATAGGAGCATCTCCATACACGCTGAAAAAGCATTCGACAAAATTCAACATCCATTCATGATAAAAACTCTCAAAAAAATGGGTATAGAACGCAAGTACCTCAACATAATGAAGGACATATATGACAAGCCCACAGCTAACATCATACTTAACAGCGAGAAGCTCTAAGATCGGAAACAAGACAGGGATGCCCACTCTCCCCACTGTTATTCAACATAGTACTGGAGGTCCTAGCCACCGCAATGAGACAAAACAAAGAAATACAAGGCACCCAGGTTAGTAAAGAAGAAATCAAACTCTTACTATTGCAGATGACATGATATTGTACATAAAAAAACCCTAAAGGCTCCACTCCAATACCATTAGAACTAATATCTGAATTCAGCAGAGCTGCAGGATACAAAATTAATACACAGAAATCTGTGGCTTTCCTATACACTAATGGTGAACTAGCAGAAAGAGAAATCAGGAAAACAATTCCATTCACAATTGCATCAAAAAGAATAAAATACCTAGGAATAAACCTAACAAATGAAGTGAAAGGCTGTACCCTGAAAACTACAAGACACTCTAAACAGAAATT